GTCAGGAGCTGGCACAGGGGACTAAGACCTGAACCCAGAGGCCAGGGACATCAGCTTTGGTGCATTGTCCAGGACAAACCCCTGGACGCAGCACCCAGCACGGCCAATGTGAAGCCTGCTGCTGTTAGACCCACTTGGCTTTCGGTTGTTTTGTTCAACAGAGGACGGTTAGCAAACGAGTGCGCTGGGGCCCCCAGATCCAGCCTCCTCGCCGAGATTCTCAGGCTCTGCTTTTCAGTCCCATAAAGGGTGCTCTGGGCTGAGCAAGTCCGTGAAGCCTGAGTCCTGGACAGGAGGTGAGCAGACTCCACACAGCTGCAGTGTCCTGCTGTGCAGCCAGTGCCCATGCCATGCAGAAAGAGAAGCTGTTTGCCCCATAACCGCTACACTACACTGCAGGGCATAGTGAGGGGAAAGGAGCCGCACATGTATAGGTTGAGTTTTTAAAAATACATACTGGGGCTGGGGATTTAGCTCAGCAGCATAAGTGCCTGCCTTCCAAGCAGGCAGTCATGAGTTCGATCCCTGGCACCGATAAAAACGAAAGAAAAAAAATAAAATAAAAAATGCATACTTTCACCCCAGCTTGGTTGCTTCTCAGATGCAGAATGCAGAGGTGCGGCTAAGAGCTCTTCTGAATGTCCTCTTCATCTATCCGGAATATAAATGTTTCATAGCCAGGCCCACTGAGTGTGGGCAACTGAGAAGTCCACAGCATATTCCGACCGCAGAGCAGGCTGGAAGCCACTGCCTCAGTGCTGCCAGGCCCACTACTGGCCAGGCAGCCTGCTACCTGCCATGAGACCTGGGCTGGGCCCTGTGCAGAGCAGTGAGGGGTCAGCTCAATTTGGGACCAGCGGGGCTGGGGTGGGCAATCACAGCCACACTCCAGCAGGCCTTGCTTTTCAGCCTCAGCTAAAGCAGCATTCATGCCACATCCATTTCAAATGAGCAGACAGCAGAGCCATCCTAAGCACTGCTCTGCTCTTGTCTGGATGCCGGGTCATTCAGCTGACCGTCCCGTCCTGACTGCATGCATGCCAGTCAGAGACTGTGCAGTTCTGCTGCCTGACAAACCATCACATCCCGGAGCATGCTCCAGCACGGTAGCAGGCTGTCTGGGAGCCCACTCTGTGAGTGTGGTGCTATCTGTGATTCCAGGCCTCCTGAGCAGTCTCCACCCGAAATTTCGCCTTCACAAATAAGGGGGAAATTGTGTAGGTTTTATTCAGTGACTCTTGCTGCTTACTTTCCAAGTTCCCATGGCAGGGATTTCTGTTCCTTCCGATTATTCCTCTACCCTAAATGCTGCTCTGCTGGTCTTGATACTCAGATGGCAGTTGCAGGAGGGTACAAACCCCTCTCCTCCTTCCACTGCATGCTGCACACCTCCCCACGACCCACAGGAAGACGGGCTGATTCACAGCTACACAGCCAGCACACCACCACCCCACACCTGTCTGCTGGTCAGACGCTTACTGTGCACGGAGGGATAGATGGATGGACAGACAGACCACACAGGAAGCACCAATCATTAGCGGAAGCACAGGGTCAAGTTGCCACCCAACCTGCCAAGCACTTGCTCCTCCTGCGTCCAATGTGCCGCTCCCTCCACTCTCAGAATTAGTCTCTAATTGTGATCCAGGAAAATCACACTGTCCCCAGGAAGAGGCAGGGGTGAGGTCACCCTTTCATACTCTCCGGGCCTGTGACAGTCACTAACTGACCAGGAACCGAGGGAGGTGACCCTCACCTTCTGGAGCGCTGCTTTGGCCACCCACAACTCAGGGCCTGTGTGAGAGGAGGCAACAGCTGCTCAGTCTGCACGTGCAGCAGTGCAGAAGAGTGGTGCACACTCCTCTGGTGTCCTAGGGGGCAGGAGCAGGACCCTCAGGCCACGGCTGCTTCCAGGGACTGCTGCTGCCAGGAAGTTCCCATGGGGCAGCATTGGAGTTTCCTCGTAGCTTAGCTGTGTCCCACACAGCACATTCTGAACCTTGGGGATGTCCAGACCCTGAGGCCTGGGCTCTGGTCTTGGCTTTTTCACCAACTGCGTTCACAGACCTGGGCAGAGGCCAACTCTGCAGTCTCCTAGGATGCAGCGTTTCACCCTCAGACTCCGGCAGTCCAGGCACTATGCTGTTGCTTCCCAAGTGCCCACCTGCAAAGCCCAATGTGCTGGTTCCCTTAGAGGGCTGCAGTTTTCTCTTTACCTGATGCCAGGCATCACACATCAGATGCCAGGGTCCTCTGGACAGACAGATTTCACAAGAGTTCTGCCACATGGCTCTCACCAGCATGACAGATGAAGCATTGGCTGCAGGACTCTGGCTCTGCAGAGGCACAGGCGTGGGTCCCATGGAGCTGCCCTGCATCCCAGTCACTGGCCTGAACTGTTTCCCCAGGAGAAGCAAGGACCATGGAAACCCTCTGAAGAGAGATGAGGGCCACGTTCCACACACACAGCCAGAAGGCGGCACGCCACGCACTCCGCCATAACGGGGCGTTCAGCTGCACTCTCACACCACCTCCCTGCTGCCAGCAGCACTTGTCCTGGCAGTGGAGAAACTGTGCCGATCAGGCCTGGCACAGGAGGGACATGTCTGCCACGAGGACGAGATACTTGGAAGGTGCTCGGGAGACTAGCATGAGCCGCACCGATGCCACTACTCTGAGGGCGCTGGGTTACCGGCCCTGGCCCCAGGGGCTGAGTCAGCTGCTGCAGTTTAGTGCTTGGATCGGGTGAGCATGGTGCAGAAGACAGATGCTGGGATGGGATGGGACAGGGACAGGAGACATCTGGTCCACAGAGTGGGCACCATGGTAGAGTCCCAACTAGAGAGATAGGTGGGTCACCTAACCCTCACCTTCATCCATGCTCCAAGGCAGATCAATGGCTTGTTTTTTCAGCAGGTAGACAGCTAAAAGTTGCTAGCCCCTAGCATTAAATCTGATCACTTTAAATATCAGATAGCTTACATTTTTACTGCCTCATATGTAAACTCTTCTATCTCTCCTCACATCTACCTACCCATCCACCCAGCCATACACCTCTGGAAATCTACTGATCATCCATCCAACTGTCCACTCGTCCACCCATTCACCCAGCCAGTGAACCAGCCGTTCACTCATCCATCCATCCATCATCTCATCATCTGTCCATCCCTCACTCACCCACATCCATGAAGTTAGGGTTTCACTCAAGGTCGGTGGAGAAGGTGGGGCTACACTGAAAGATCCAACCCAGCACTCTAACCATCTGACCCTCCTGAGAATTTGAAAGCACAAATTCTCAGATTCTGCCCCACCGCACCCTCCTGAGTCAGCTCTGAGGGTGGCTGCAATCTGTGACTTCAGCCCTCACCCCTAGTGATGCAGAGGCATACTCCAGCTTGACCACTGTCCTAAATTCATCAAAGGTTTAAATCAAGTAGATCTACAGGATTTCTTCCTCAGGTATCTCTCTCTTTTTTTAACCAACTATCGCAAACCTAAAGAGAAAACCAGAACGCCTCCCAGTGCTGGGAAGGGTGCTGTACTAAAGGAGAAGCTTTTGCTACCAGAAGAATCTTCTGGCCTTGGTCCTAAAGGTCAGGCTCTGGAGCACGTGTGACATCTACATGCTCAAAGCTGAGATTCACAGACCACCAGGAAAGCACACATTATCCAACTCTGCATGCAGATCAGCTGGGCTCTGGGGACAGAAAGCAACATGCAGCAGCACATCCTGAGCACAGGTAGGTGAGATGCTGGGAGTTTGGGGCAGAGTCACACGCAATTCCCAGGAGTTGCACAAGCCCTCGGCCATGAAGCCCTCCTACAGAAGTCAGCCTTTCCCACCTGAGCAGCAATACCAGCAACCAGATCAATGTCAGAGCCATCAGCTCACACTGGCTGCTGATCCAACAGGACCCTGACTTCGAGACCTTGAGTTAGAAGGCATTCTGTTACAAATAGGGAATTCTTCAGGAGGTGCTTGGACATAACACTGGGATGGTTGTTGTGTTACAACCGGCTGTGTGGAACGTGGCCCTCATCTCTCTTCAGAGGGTTTCCATGGTCCTGAAACAGTTCAGGCCCTGTGACTGGGTTGCAGGGCAGCTTCATGGGACCCACGTCTGTACCTCTGCAGCGCCAGAGTCCTGCAGCCTATATGCCTCCCTCAGAGGGAATGCACAGCAAGCTCCTGGCTCTAAACCCAGAAACCCTCCAGGGATCCCTGCTGGGGGAGGGCAGCATTGGGGGGTGTAGGGCACTAACCCTGGGGACCTCTTGCCTATTAAACAATGAGGCGTTCAACAGGCGAGGGTGCCGTTTAGGCAGATCTAAGAGACATGGAGGGGTCCATGGCCATCAGTGCCCAGGAGTGTCAGAGGGCACAGATCTGGAAAGGCTGCTTCCTTCCCGAAACACAAAGGTGGCCATGGAGACAGCAGGGTGGCTGGTGGTTTACAGCGAGAGGTCAGTGCCATTTCCCCTCCTCTGGGACAGGCACTTACAACTCCAAATGCATGTGTCTCTCAGAGTTCATGAATCCTCAATCCCTAAAAGCCCAGGAATGACATCACCATTGGAGCCATTTCCACACTCAGATCCTGACACCAGCCAAGCACAGGGCAGGAAGCACGGGTCCCAAGCATTGGAGGATGCAGCACCCAGGCGCCGTCTCCTCTCCACACACCAAACCCTGCACCATGCCAAGCGAAGCCCAGGCTTTGGAACAGATGAGGGGACGGATGGCAGAATGGCTCTATTTTCTTTTGCTCCATACACAATAAACTCAGTAGTTTTGCTGAGAAAAAACCATCTTCACAAGTTGAATGTCTTCCAAGGTCTTGGCGAGGTGCCCCACACAAAGACAGCGCGTCACTTGGGGGGAGGGGACCACACCCAAACCAACCAGCTCCTAGCACTTTCTTCTCCCAGGAAAGCAAGCCTGAGACCCAGGAAAGGTCTGAATCACCTACCATGGCAATAGCGGACAAGCACTGGCAACTTACTTTCAGTGGCAAATCTCTACTTCCTCTTCGTTCCAAGGGAAACCAGGCGACAGACACTGCAGGCTCCTTTCGTGCTATAGCAGGGAGACCTGGGTGTGCCCAACCTAATGGAGGCCTTGGCAAGGCACCACTGCTACTTCAGCCCCCACCGAAACCCAGAGGAGACGATTAGGCTGCTCCTATACCATCGCTGCTATTCTGCTTCTCCCCCCACCCCCAGACATCTGCCTGAGGGTCACAGTATGTGGTGGGAAACAGCCACCAGATCACTAGGGAATTTTCCTCCCAGGAGTTCTGGCAGCTTCCCCATGCTCTCCCTTGTTCCGGAAGCCCTGGGCTCAGCTGGTCCTCTGCTCAGGGCACCTGTGCAGTCCCCATTGCTGCTCTGGAGCTGCCACTGCATGGAGGGGAAGGCTGGGGAGGGGTTTTGAAGCTAAAGCGTAGGAGATCCTGATCCCTTAGGAAGCCCTGCCTGATCCGCAGTCACTGTAACCATCCTAGCAGCATAAAATGGCCCGGCAGTCCCGGAAACATGTCAGCTACCACAGCATGCAGCGACAGGGGTAGAGAGAGCGATGGAGGCAGCGAGTGGCCCTGACATGCATTTCCCTGCCACTCCGCAGATGATGTCAAGCTAAAGATCTACAATGGAAGGGAGCGCTCCTCCTACCAGTGCGCCTGGAAACCGCATCCAGCCTCTGCACCATCTCCTCCAGAGCCATCTCTTCATTCCAGAACCTCATCCTCCGGAGCCAAATCCTCAGGGCTCCCACCCCGCACCCTGGCGGCTTGGGTGGTGGTGGGGAGGGGGCGCGGGTGGGGAGGGGGCGGCCCGGGATTGGTCTGCGCCTGCGGGGAGGGGGCGCCGGTGGGGGGCGCGGGGCCGCGGCGGAAGCGGAAGCAGCTGCCCGCGAGTCACCTGGGAGCCTGCGTGGCCCTGCCGCGGGCACCTGGGGCGTGCGCGTGTGCAGCCAGGACTTGCGCGCGTGCACCGCCGCGGGCACACGGAGTCCTGCAAGCCCTGCAAGGTCATCTGAGCTCGTGCGTGTGCAGCGCCATGCGGGATCGAGCCTTAGGCGTGCGCACTGCGCTGCGCACGCGGGATCTTGCGTTCTCGCCGCCGCCCCCTCCGGTTGTCCGCGCCCCGCCCCTTACCTGTGGCCGCCCCGGGGCAGGTGCAAAGCCCGCAGCAGTTAAGCGCGCCGTCCCCGCGCGGCCGCATGGCCCCAGGGTGGAGCCGAGGTGAGCGGGTTGCTGGGTCTCTGGACCGCTGAGGGCAGACCCGCCAGCTGAGACGCAACAGCAAGCCCTGTGGGCCTGGCCCTCCCGTCTCCACGGTTGGCAGGGAGCCACGTGGTGACTGGACACCGCCACAGAGTGGAGCTCAGGTGCCCAGGGCCATGCCGGCCAGCATCGCCCCTGTGGGTGCAGGTGCACACCCAGACCTGGCCTGTCCCCTCCCATGCTGCTGGCTGGCTGCCGTAGGGCGGGGCCACAAGTAAGCGCCCTCCTGAGTGAAGCTCTCAGAATGGCTGGGGAGATCAGCGCCCAGCATCCCGAGTCCTGCAGGATGTGGGCCCAGTGGTCCCTGCACCCCCGTACCCCCTGTACCCCACGACCCCGTGTGGTGACCATCACACAGAGCGTCCCTGGGACGCACAGGTAAAGGGGTCACAGTGTTTACCTCATGGCCTCAGGCCACAGCCTGAGAGGCAACAACAACCAGACACATGAAAAACAGCATAAAATAAAAGATGTAATGACCACATAGACGGCCCTGGTAAAAAGTAGGAAAACTGCTGCTTTTTAAAAATAAAAAGCTTGTAAAGGCCACTTACATTTCTAGAACAGATTGGATTTTATGCAACCTTTTATCCTGAATTAACAGCAATGAACACATGAAACAACAACAAACCAGCAGTCCGTCTGGGGCCTAAGCAACCTCACCTTCGGGAGAAACGCTGGTCAGTCTGAGGGACGTGAGCCTCCTGTGCACAGATTCCCCTGCCAGCCCCGTGGCAAAGCATCCACAAGGGGACCCTCAGAGTGGGTCCCTGACGACACCTGGCAGCCCAGGGTCCCTGAGGCTTGCTGTCCCATGTCGGCTTCGTCCCTGCACCCCCTGGGAAGTGCCACCCACTGGGCAGAACTCTCTAGCCCATGGCCCTGCCTTCCAGAGGGCCCAGGGCTGTGGTGCTTGGCCTTCCCTGTAGAACAGGCCTCAGACTGCTCCCCAAGGCTGCTGACCTGGCTGTGTAAGGTCCCCATGGCTGGCACAACTGCATGTGAGCCAGCAGGTCTGGCCAGGGAGAATGTGACTGTCCTTGCTGAGAACCACTAATGGCTATGTCTGTGCCAGCCTTGAACCCCCAAACCCAAGAAAATGAAACCCCCCCTCCCGCCCACACCAGCTACCTGCCCTCCAGGCAGTGAGCCTTGTCCCACCTTGCACAGGCTCTCCGCACCTCCCCATCAGGACAGTGAGGTTTTGGGTTTGCTGCAGAAAAACAGTACTGACAGTGCTGCCTGAGCCCTGCCAGGCACCTGTGTCCAACACTTCCCAAGCACTGACCCCACCTGGTCCACAACAATCTGCATAGCAGGGCTGTGCAGCCCTGCTGTTCCCTGGTTACTCCAAAGGCACAGGCAGGTCAGCCTGGCCACAGTGCCTCACAGTACACAGAGGCAAGGTGTGGGCTCAGCTGGGTGCCAACGGGCCTGGAAACCCAGTGCTGACTTGGAAACTTTGTCCTGCCTTGGTTGGAATGGCACCAGAGAAGCTCTGTGCAGCCCAGATCTCTAGGTCAGCCCCGCCCCACCCAGGGGGCCAGGCACAGTGTCTTTGTCCTCCAACAGAGCAACTCCTCTCCCAGTCAAGGCCTGAGAAGGTAGATGCTGTCACCTTATACCTGGACACTGCCGCTGCTGCTTAGCAACCATTCCGGTTGACCAGCCACAGAGCGGGTGAGAAATGGGAGCAGGCAGATTGGGAGGCCAGGTTGGGAGCAGCGGGCTGGAGATGGGCACAGCCGCCAACGGAGGAGGAGCCATGGCAGGGCAGGCACCCATTTCCTGCCCTGCAGGCCACTCTGCAGAAACCCTGAGCCAGGCGCTATGTGACAGGAGGACACATTGAGGCCAAAGCAGGGACACCCACAGATGTAGCCCAATTGCCAAGCACCAGGCTGGCTCCAGTGGCTTGGGTCATCCAGGGGTGACGGTCCAGCTGGCAGAGTCTGGGGCAGCTCAATTCCACGTCACCTGCCCTGCCAGCCTTATGGCCTTGTGAGTGGAGAGAACGGGCACCTGCAGAACAGCCCAGTAGCTGGCAGGACTCATGTGGAACAGTGCTCAGGTGACCAGGACTGTGACAGCACACCGCTGAGGGTCAGGGGATGAGGACACCAGGATTTTGTTTCCTGACTCAAGCCGCAGAGTCTGGACATCCATATTAGCCCAAGGAGGATGGCGGGAGAGTCGAGGTGTGGGTCCGGAGGCTTCACCACAGTTCTTGGGCACAAAGGGCCTCGCAGGAGCAGTGATCACTGCACTTTTTGCCACACAGAACTGGGAGTGTAGCCTATTTCTGCCCAAAAGGGTTTTGTCCACTTTAGAAAACAGAGGAAATGATGCAGGTTTTTTCCTTTTTTGAAGTTACTCGAAGTTGTAACACACTGTATCATTGGGACACGTTTCTCACTCAAACCTTTTTCTAATCTTGGCACAGCTTGCAACACCTGGGTGAGTGTTTCCCATCATGTAGGTTTCAAAATGTAATTGACCTCTTTGGAAAGTTTTAGATTCTCATAGAAAATGTGGCAAAGAAACAGACAAATCTTTTTCTCACAACTGATTGTTTCTCTGCTTAAATTCCTTGATGCAGAATTAGACTAGAGTGTAGCTAGTTTCAGTTTGTGAACCTCATGTGTGCTCTAAGTGTAGCTGCCTAAACTGGGCAGCCACTAGGCAGGTACAGGGCCCATCCCAGGTCCCCGCTGCTCAGCGTTGTCTGATGGGAGTGCAAGACTCCTGCAGGAGAACGGGGAGCCACTCTCACCCATTCCCATCCCGTGTGGCAGCAGCCCGGTCTCAAACTCACCTCCCGATTACTGAGACAACATGGATTCCATCTCACCCTATGAAGAACAGCCATCATCAAGAAACCAGACAATAAGAGACAGGAGGAAAAGGTGCCTTTCCATACTGCTGGCGGGAATGTAAGCTAGTACAACTACTATGGAAAGCAGCATACAGAATCCCCAAAAAACTAACAGTAGAAATTCCATTTGGCCCATCTATTCCCCTTCCAGGTAGGCATCTTCCTAGAAGCATTTTAAAGATTCACATTGCAGTGACCCATGCACACCCACATTTATAGCAGCACAGCTCATCACAGCAGATCTTGGAGGCAGCCTTGGGTCCAGTAGATGCATGCATAAAGAAAATGTGGTGTCTACACACCATGGAGTACTACTCTGCTGTGAAGAAAGACAAACTTCATTTCCAGGAAAATGAGTATCGTCAGACCCACAAGCTTCTATATCACATGGTTTCTCTTATATGGGAAACTCACAAAGTGTAAATAAATTAAGCATCAAAACAAAAGACAGATAATGAGAAAGGGGAGTAGATCTGTAAAAAGGAAGAGGATCTGGAGATGGCAGAGGACGAGGGAGGGAAAATGGGGATGTAAAAGGCTTCAGCTGTGTCCTGTCCTCATACCAGCTCCCTGTGAACGGTGATCATTCTGCCTTGCAGACATGGACCAACAAACATTAAAAAAAGAAGAAACACCATCGCCCAGGCAGTCCTGGGGGACCTGGGCAGTGACCTTGGGCAGTGGAGCCACTGGTGCTCTCTGAGGGGAGCGTCTCACCTAGGGAAGGCCCTCCCGGGCCCTGGACACGTTCAGGCCTGTTCACCCAGGTCCAGGGGGCTAAGGACCCTGTCCACAGCTGTCCTTGGACAGGGCTAGGGGGTGCATAGCCTGGATCTGTTATGGGATGTTCTCACCTGGGGAGGGTCCCACAGCACTCTGATGTGACTTGGGCACCATGGGAGAGCAGTCATCCGTGGGAGGAGACACACAGGGCTGTTGTGACCCCAGCTGTCCATGTCCACCCCTGGTGGCCAGGCTACCAAAGAGACCAACACATTCAAGAGCCAGCCGCCGGGCTCTCAAGAAACTCGGGGTCAGAGTTACGGGCTCTGGAGGGGAAGATGGAGGCAGCAGAACCCCAGATGCCATGTGTGGCACTCAGACAGCGGCTGGGCTGAGAGCAGCGGGGACCTGGAGTTCCTACCCTGGAGTGAGGGGCAGCCCCAGGCAGAGGGGCTCCTTGTCTCCATCCCTGGGAAGCCAGGAAGGGGACCTGGCTACAGGGCTGCTTGATGAGATGGTGTCTGGAGCAAGGTCCATCAGCCAGGCATGGAGGCCATGCCAGGTGGGCACCAGCCCAGTGACCAGTGACTGCTATGGCCCGGTGTCAGGCAGAGGTACAGCCCACCTGCCCCCTAGCA